AAGAATTTACATCAAAAAAAATTCAGAAGCTAGCCGGGAAAATCCAAAAAAATCTATATTTTGCGCAATTTTTATGAATATTCGACCGCTAAAGTAAAACAAGGTCCCCATTTAAGGTAGGAATTTACAGTAGGCGTCGGCTACACTGTCCTGGCTCCTAGTGTAAACGCAATATGAACACTGCATGTAAAGTAAGGCGAAGGAGTATGCTGAAATCGTTAGGGAAAAGTAGCCGAAGTAAAACGAAAAGGGCCACCTGATGCTTCGGTTTAGAGGTAGGGCTCATTTCGGGATCTGGGTTAGTGCCAGTCTGAGAATTGAGCTTAGAGTTAGGGTTTATGTTAAGTCTAAGGATCCCAGATAGAGTTAGGTTCGGATCGCGGTTTAGGTTTACGTGTAGATTTAAAGTTTGAGTTGGGGTTAATGCTAGGGTTAGAGTAGGTTTATGACTAAGGTTACGGCTAGGGTTATGCTTAAGGTTAGAGTTTGGGAAACGGTTAAGGATAGGGTAAAAGTCAGGACTGGAGTCCGTGGTCGATTTAGGGTGAAATTAAGTGGTAAGTTTAGGGCTAGTGTTACGTTTATAATTACGCTTAAGATTAGGTTTAATTTTGCGGTTGCGGTTAGGTTTACCGTTAGGTTTGGGGTATTGCAACAGCGCGTGTCCGGTCAGCCAGGTCTTTTGCGGGGATTCTAGGCTTCCTCCATTCTCGCGGCAGATTTGCTATACATAAGGTTATCCTCTCCGATTCCGCCTCAGATACTTTATCCACTAACGATCTCAGTATCTCCCTTCGGCTTATTTTACTTTGAGTGCCCGCATTGGAATACATTTGGGGAACCAGGACAGCGTAACCGACCCCTGCCGAGAATTTCCCCCGAATTTTCCTCCTCCTTGTCTATTACTTCGGATAAAAGGACTTTGAAAGAAGGCCATAAGAATATAAAGCCACGTAAAGTAAATATTCACAAATGCTTTTATCTCATACAGGCGCCCGAAATTCACAAAATTGCAGCAGTTAAGGTAGATTTTACGAAGGACTAAAGTGATCAGACACGGGAAAATGGACCGTCGTAATATAGTTTCAGCGCACTAACTTCCACGCGGGAGGTGCCTGCATTCTTCCTCTCGTTCTCTGTTGTTCTCCGGTTATCCGTCCTGCTAATTTTAAAAAGGGTCCTCCCACTGCTCTCTCCTGATGCTGGTGGTGTTTCTTATGACTTCTTAGTTGATATTCTAATGCAAGGACGGTCAAGCAAGTTGCTGGTCAAATTATAAATAGTGTTGCTTGTCTTCTTTATTCTAAACTAATTGTTACGAAGTTCTGCCACCCTGTGAGTCGTGGCCTTCAACGTACCACCAACCCGTGCGCCATTTCTAACACGATAACTTACATGTAAAGAAAGCGAAATTCAGAATCTCAGACTTGAAAATTACTCGTAATATATATTCAATTTAAGTGCGTGAGAATATTGGGCCAGTCGGACGACCGAGTTGCTCGCCTGCTGCAGGAAGCATGGCAGTCAACCGAGGGCTCGATTGATCGACATATCGATCTGCCAATCGCCTATCAAGCACTGCGTGGGCAAATCAGCAGCGCAGCTAGAGGTCACCCCGGCAGAGGTGAGCTAAATACACGATGAGTTGTACAATTTTTCCTTCCTTGACGATGGGCTCGCGTGAGAGTTCGAAACTTCGGATCAATAAACAATTGGTCCCAGCGATCGCCTTCCCATCTTCTTCTATTCAATTAACTGGGCCGCGTGTGTTCTCTATCATTCGGGATATTCAATTTTATACAAACCTATTTACTCTTACATTATTTGTAAATTTATATCCCAGCCGAAATGCATAAAACCACTTTTGTTTAAAATTTTGAACTTTACTCTCAAAATAACGCTTATTATTCGCTGTGAATTATATGTTTTCGTGCCCAAACATTAACCAGAACCCTAACCCTCCTACCTTTGACATCAAAATTAATCCACACCCTCGAATATAGGGCAAGGCCACATGTAGTATGAGGACCCACATTCTTGGGTCCAACCGACTAAAGCTCCTGTATGTGTTTTAAAGACGTCATTTGTTCACCAGAATATTGCAAATTATTATAGTGAATTGGTAAAATTATTTGTGGAGGTCACCGCCTTTGACCAAAGAGCTTCGTGAAAACAGACTAGTATTTATCACTTACAGTTGCTGCATCTGTGGAAGCTTCGAATGTAAACGACCAAGTTAAAAGCTCTGATTTTGAGATATGATGATCAACCTAGAATTTCCTGAATATAATCATTTTATTTATTTTAAGGCGCGTCGAAACACTGGTGAAAGAATTGAGGCTTAAGTGCACAATACGACCTTGACGTGCAATGCGTAACTAACAAAGCATTAGAATGAAAGCACTGTGAGCCCCAGCTTCTTGTCCTTTTGCCGTTTTGTTTACCAGCGGACTTCCGAGGGTGTGATGGGAAATGATCAAAACATCCGGGGGGTAATTCATCGAATGATCTCGGGGACAGTCCACTTATCAGAAAAATGTTAGTCTGGCGAAGAAGCGCGCTTGGAGGTCATCCTCTAGGTCAGGTTCAAGCAGTTGATCGAAAGCCTCCCACTTTTAGCGCAGCGTGATAGTTTAAAAGCACGTCATATTGTTTGCAGTGTGGAATATGCGTTGAGCGCCGTGGGGACGGAGTCACCAGAGTTGATCTGTAGCAGTTCGCGTCTCCTCGCTCTCCGCCTTTGTCACGCTGCCCTCCTGTCCGCCTCACACTCCTTGTCGATGCGCTGATGGGGTGCGCGAGTGCTCGAAGCCAATCAACGCTGCCCCCACTCTGATTGGCTGGCGAGATTGAGACAACGAAGGGCGCACACACGCGCTAACACAACACCTCGAAGGCGGACACAGACAACAGCTTGCTTGGAGCACGCTTGCGGCGACTGCCCACACAGCCTTTGTGTACACGCTTTCCAAGCCGTAAAGTTTGTCCAACTCAAACCGTCTTCCCTGTCTTTTGATTGGGAATCTTTATCTTGTCGACCACAACGACTTTCGACAAGTGGTGACCCCGACGTGATCTGAACACGCAACCTTCTGAAGGTCGACAAGATAAAGATTCCCAATCAAAAGTCAGGGAAGACGGTTTGAGTTGGACAAACTTTACGGCTTGGAAAGCGTGTACACAAAGGCTGTGTGGGCAGTCGCCGCAAGCGTGCTCCAAGCAAGCTGTTGTCTGTGTCCGCCTTCGAGGTGTTGTGTTAGCGCGTGTGTGCGCCCTTCGTTGTCTCAATCTCGCCAGCCAATCAGAGTGGGGGCAGCGTTGATTGGCTTCGAGCACTCGCGCACCCCATCAGCGCATCGACAAGGAGTGTGAGGCGGACAAGGAGGACAGCGTGACAAAGGCGGAGAGCGAGGAGACGCGAACTGCTACAGATCTCTCTCTTCCCTCTCCCAGACCCCAGTCCACTGTCCGAGACGATCAGTTGTCTGATGCGGGGATTGGGCGCAGTGACTGACAGAATTAGGGAGTCGGGCTCCGCGTGTCAGAATTATCCCGTCAGGTGGCAGCCTTCCGAGTCATGGCTTTTAGCTGATCGTGATCGTTTCAAGCACGTCAGATTATTTGTAGTGCGATATATGTCTGGGAAGTCAACCTCACTCTCTCTCTCCTCCATCACCCATGGGCCAGGCTATTCTCCGAGTTGTACTAATCAGCCCATCTGCGTAGGCCATACCTATAACCTGGTTCCCACCACAACACACCAGAATTTCACATCAAGCAGCCGACTGTTCAGATCTCTAATGCGTTAGATTAACAGAAGTCAACGAGTATGCTTCCCACAATGCGTACGAAGTGGCAACTTCGCGCTTGTGTTGGATGGTGAGGAAGGGGTTCGTGTGTGCTGCATGTGCACGTGAGGAGGTATGTACTGATGGGGTTTGACCGCTGTGTTTTCCGTACGTGAGTGAATGTGAGGACGGCTGAGGACAGTGCTCTGGGTGCATGTGGATGTTTCAGGCACTGATTCGCCAGTCACTGCCCGTCAAACGGACCACACAGCAGATGCGCTGGATCAATGAGGGGACTAGATCGGGCCCCAACAGGCGGCGTAGAGGAGGGGGTGTGGTGGCAGGTCCGGGTGCAGGCTATGTCACTCCGAATGAGAGCCGAGACGTCTGTGACTTTTCTTGTGGCATAACATCCTGGTCAGTGTACGTTCTGGACCAGGGGGTGTGGTTGAACGCTTAAGTGCGCGTTTTCGCTATGCCAGACAACTGCGCCATCCTTTACCTCCGGTCCTCTTGACTCTGTCTTAACGCCGGTCCCAGATGATGGAGGAGGAGAGAGTGCGGTCGCTGCAACGCAAGTTTACAATAAACTAAATCACGCATAAGTCACCGTCGTTGCTATCACCCTGCTGTGATGCGCAAAGTGGATACTGTCGGTCACGACTGCCGAATTATCGCTTCGCCAGTCTCTGTGCGACAGATTCGCAAGTGATCTACCGGACCGATGCGTGATCTGTATGATTGTTAGTGATGTTAACAGGATAGGCTGGTAGCCGCTGGGTCGATTTCGATGTTGATCCTGCCAGTGTTCGCCATGATAATGGAGAATTAACTGGTAGTGCTGGGGATAGGGAGGTAGTCGAATTCGAAAGATGTGCCAAGCGCGTCGTTATTGCTGTGAATTCTGCTGTCACGAATACTGGTGTGGCTGAATAAGCCCATGTGGAAAATGCAGACAATGAAGGCATGTGAAGCGTTATTTATGTTGGGACTTCCGGCACTGGTGCGCGGGTCTCGGTTCGATGAACTAGCAGGTGACCGACCAGACTGATGCTTTCTGGATGAGGGCAGGTTGAGATTGAGTCCACATTGCTGGTGGCACGGGCTGTGGTCGTGGCAAGCGTAATGGTTCACAGAGCGTCTGAGGTGTGAAGGGGGTTGGAGAGATGGTCATCTCGAGGTTTGTGGATGGAATGAGGGAAATTGTGGGGATTAACGACATCGACTAAGGCTTGGTGGCGGCAGGAGTGTGATTATCTGGGCGGTGATGGCGGTTGCGGTCACCGTCATGGGGTTTGGTGCAGGAGTAGCGATGGGAGCGCTTGCGGAGACAGCAGGGCGAGGATGTGGCCGAGCAGTTGCCAGTGTTACGACCGACAGTGCATCCGCGCCGCCTTCACTCTCGTTGGAAGGCGGGGCAACCTTGTGGTCGGCAGGAGACAATGCTCCGCGCAGGTTCGCAGAAGGGGGGAGGCCGTTGGCGTTGCAACCGATGAGTCCGTCAGGACCCGGCACTCCCACCCGGGCGACGTGGTCTGTCTTGGTTTTACTGAAGTCAGTAGGGTCGACCTCGTTCTCCGCCCCTTCCCTAATCACCAGTGATCGCTGCGACCGTGCCGGCTGACTAGTGATGAAGTTGGACGAAGTGACTGACATGCCAAAAATAATCCATCTAACACGTGCTACGTGCGCACACATGAGCGGAAATAACTGCTCACTCGTTCTTACCGACTGTTTAATGCAGAGTTGATGTCCGACTCTAGATCAGTAGTTTGCGAGTAAATTTTACGTCGGGGTCGCCAATATCACAGAAGCCGAAGCCGAGAGTGAGATCCTGTCTACCACGATCTCCAGGTCAAGTTCTGCATGGAAGTAGGAGATGGATAGCAGTTTGGAGGATTGCGTATTCTGTACAGAATAACTGAAGAAGGGGTTGGTAGGAGCTGGCTGCCAGAGGGAAGTGTCCCGGAGCCGAGAAAACAGCATGCGCGCCTCACCATTGAGGCCGGCCACTGCCTAGACTTCCTCACACCATCGGATTACTTCTATTACCTGTGTCTTCGGGAGCTATGAAGTTTGTTTCATCCCGTTTTAGTTACTTCTGGCCAGTAGACAGCTACCCGAAGTGACAAACCCCCTTACCGTGGCCAATCGCTGGATCGAAAAGCTGAATTGAACTGCATATCAGCGCGAGGCTCTGCGACTTTTCTATCTCATCATCCACGTCTCCCTTTATCTGCTTGCGGAACAGGCGAAATCTGCCCATCCAATCCTATGTCAACTAGACCAGAGCATTCAACTCTTCATGTCCATGGAAGAAGGTACGTGCATTTTTTCCTGATTTTGAGGCCGCATAAAACGCTGGACTGCGTGGAAATAACTTTCCGAAACTAGATTAAGAGGATTAAAAGGATTGGACCGTCAACTGAGCGAAAAATTAAGCGTACACTCTTACTGCTCCTCCGTAAATCCCGTTTTCACCAGGAAACTCGAATCTGCCGTTTTTTTCGGAGTAGTATTGTTCTATTTTCTGCCAGCAGTCCCTGTCAGCGAGTGAGTGGATAGAATTGGTCGGCTACAGGAGCAAATACATGGTTTATTTATTTGACCATAGAATTAGTAACGGTTCTGCTATCGTTGACTATGTGCCTTTATTCTCCGGTTAACTTTATACGATCGTTCTTCCAAGGGCTTGCTCATACTTAGAAATAGTCCTCCAGATTTTACGCTGACTTTAAACGCCTTTTAGCAATACCTCCAGCGCAATTAACAATACTGTCCTATAAGTAGCAACAGCCTGTCTATCCATATTTTACTCTGCTCAAAGTTAGTTTTGGAGTACAAACCCGCTAACACCCCACCCCCGATCCAAGTGTCAGTCGGGGGATGCATCAAAGCGTCTTAAGCCAGGGAACGTCTAACTCGGCCTTGAATCTGATTGGCCATTTGGAAAGCTGAGTGAGCGAACGCCAGATAGCACTTGTGCGCATGTGCCGACACTCGCGAGAGGCCCAGCGTTGTCACAGGCACTCGGAGTAGGGCCACTACAGCTGTATGAGTGGTCCTAAATTGTGCACATATGACCACAAATGTTTACGCGCCAAGTGCGTGTGCGGAAAGGTGTGGGCTCCAGCGATGTGGAATATTGTAGCAGTTGTTATCATGTATGCGCATGTGAACGAGTAGTCTGTATAGTGACCGACTACGCATTTTCACTACGGGTAAGGAGGACTTGGGTGAAGAGTGTTAACCGAGGCTTCGGTAATTGTTTCGCTGGTCACGCAGCCATGGATTTTTAGATGATTGGCTAGTTCATGCGGCTACAAAGTGGACAAGTCGGCACAGTGCTGGTGGTGGTGGTGGTGGTGGTGGTG